TTGTTTAGACCCCCGACTGCTTGTGTTCAGCGCTAGCATTTACCATAGTGGATGATAGACGGCGACTTAGTACTTCAGTTTAGTAAGTCATATTCCAATCAAGTCGTAGGTTACCGTTCTACCTTTTCTAGTTCCCTTCTGCACAATCGAATGACCAGAAAATGGCAATCTGTTGAAGTTAGTGCACTGGAACAAAATGGGAAAAAGAGGATTCTTTGACGAGCGAAGAAGCTTATTCGAAACCATAGGTGATATTCTTTAATAATATCCAGTTACATACAGTTCCGGACCTTAAGTGGAGTAGGCCGTGATAATTTAATTGGGTGTCGTGCTAAAGGTAGTTTCACGTTCAATTCCATCAAAATATGTTGAAAAATCCCCAAGGGGTTTCTGAAATATCCGCATTTTACGGATGCTTGGAAGAAAGGCTATAATACATAGAGTACGCGGCCCACACCGTTTATCTTTTTGACGGTACAGTGCGTAGCACACAATTCACATCCGACAAACCAACAAATTCAGCTGCCGACAGCAGTATGCGCTGTCATCTTAATGGTGCAAATCGATACTCCACGACTGAGTGGGGAAGACATTAAGTACTAGCGGCTTTGAATCATCACTGTTTATTTAATGTGAAACACAGGATGAAGCAATCGGCCTGGCAAAATCGTGGTAAGTCACCGTGTGCTCCGGATTATCCCGGAGGAAGATATCATGGTCACGAAGCGTAAGGTCAGCACTTATCTATCGCACAGTGTCCTACTTACGGATGATACTCCACAGTGGATGAACCCTCATGTAGACCCATCGCCGACTCGGAGGTGATAGATCAAGAATGGTACAGCGAGAGAAATCAGAATAGGTATTTTTCATCTTCCGGATCGGGATCTTTTGACCAACTGGTCAGAGACACTGGATGACATGACAAGGAGCCGAAAATTGCAGCGTACTGGTTTTCATTTCCCATCTAGTCACTGAAGAGTTCCGTATAAACAGTCAGACTTCATTGACAGTTGTGGTTCATTTTACATTCCTCTTATTCGAACCAGCTCAATCATTATTGATTTTACACATTCATACCTGCCTGGTGAGTTTTGGTATTTTGATAGCTCATTTGATCACATTGATGATGATGATAATGTTGATGATCCCGGAATAGAGTAAAAATAGTGTTAATTACAAAAAAACAGTAATTTTACAGTTTCCTGCTGCTGTTATGACTGCTTTTTGCAACAAATTTGCTCAACTGATAGAGAAGGTATGAGCAGTGAACAGACGATTGGCAGAGGAATATCAAGATAAAGCTAATCAGCACGAAAATCCTAGATCAATTGGGAAAGGGAAAAGATACACGGGTACCACTGTTTCAGAAAAACAGCTCTAATCACCGAATTTATTAAATATATCCATAATAACGGAGTGGGAGGTGTCTGAGGTGGAATGTACTTTCATCAGCCGAAGCTGGACATTTGTATCAATTCAGATAAGAGACAAAAATGCAAAGCAAACGAGCGTCAGAAAACTATTAACCACTAACTATAGGTTTGCAGTAAGAAGGATAAGCCAAACCTTAAACATATTGTTGTTCACCATAAAGCTGATAAAAGAGTGTGTTGACTAAACACTGTGTGTTTGGAATGAAGACAAAAAGAGTTAAGAGAATATAATTGATTTGGCTTTTTGCTTTAGGCTTTTACGTATACAGTACGAGGCGAGTAGTAATTAATCCGTTTTCACTTATGTACGGTAATTGTACGAGTATGAGTTTGAACTGATTTCATGACAGAGGATGATAATTTGGTGGAGCCGGTTCGTCAAACGTGTCACTTATTCTACTTAAAACTATGTGGTCATTCGTGTGGGCAAAACGTACCTTGACTCTCAATCATCATGACAAGGTAATCAATCTCCTGCAGATCAGAAAATTTACCTTTGACGTCCTAACAGTTCACACCAAAGTTCTCATGCAAACACGGAACTGTTTCTAAAATCATTTCTACAGCCAAATTGAATTAGGGGAGGAAGATCCCACTGAACTTTGCTTCCTCTGTTAAACACGAGAGAAATGGCCAGGAACAGTAACCTGGATCTAGTTATTCGCGTGATAAGATGGTATAGAAAGAAATAAACCTGATGTCCTCTTCTCGAGCTTGGCAATTGGATTGCAAACGTTTCATCACCAATCGAAGTGACATTCTCAATGCAGTAACTGGGTGAACGCTTACGAGTGTCCTTTTCCTTATATAAGTCGTTGAGTGATGTAGAAACGTGGCGTTGCCTTATTGGCCAAGGTTTGTTTGCCTTGTGCCGATAGGGGATGAGGTGGACGCGAGCAGTCTGACGGCAGGCCGTCGATCGGTCAGTCTAAGCGTTACTGCTGTCCTGGTGTCACGTTTGACACGACTCGCCTTCTTTGCGGTGATTCGCTCTTTTGTTGCATGGGGGTGTAGACTTGATAGATGTCAATGTGTCGGTTGACCGAGTTTTCCGATGAATGCCAAGCTTCCAGAAATTCTCTTGAGTTCTTGGCGCGCACCTGATCAACGACTTTGATGTTTTCGAAATCGAAGTTGTGTCCTTCTCGGTCCTCGTGNATGACTTTGGTGTTTTCGAAATCGAAGTTGTGTCCTTCTCGATCCTCGTGGATTGAGATGAGTGAAAGCAAATCGTGTCTTCTGACGGCCAGTTTGTGTTCGTGCACGCGAGTTGCTGTTTGAAACCCCGGTTGGACCGATGTAGTGCAGTCCTTGCAATTGATACGGTAGATCACATTTATTCGATTTTTATCTTCTTTTTGCTTCTTGATTCTCGTAAGATTCTCCTTAGGGTTGTAGTTGGTTTGTGAGCGACTTGAATGTTGTGTGGTTTCAGTATTCTCGTGGTCTTTTCCGAAGTGTTCTTCACACACGGTAGGGTTATTCGTTTGTTTGGTTGTCCGTTTGTCCTTGTGTGTTGCTGTGCTGGAGTTATCGCTCGGTCGACGAAGTTGTGAGTGTAGCCTTTGCGGAGGAATACTTGACAGAAGTATTTCTCCTATTACTTCTTCAATTTTTCAGTGCTGCAGTGTGTTTTGGTCCTTTCGAAAAGTGTCTAAATGCAACTCTTTTTGTGGCAGGTCGAGTAGTTGCTGGTGTATCCCAGGATTTGGTCTGTGTGGGTCTTCTTTCTGTACATTGATATTTCTAGCGGTCCGGACAATGATCTTGTTACTAGGACNGTCGAGGAATGCCAATTTGTCATTTTGTTCTGTTTCCATGGTGAACTTGATATCCGGGAAGATATTGTTAATGCTGTTAAAGGTTTTGTCCACTTCTGATCGCTTCAGGATCACGAATGTGTCATCTACATATCTAAGACAGAGTTTGAGCTGGAGTTGGGGTAGAATCGTCCTTTCGAATTTTTGCATTACGGCTTCGGCAATGAAACAAGAAATTGGTGAACCTATGGGTGTTCCTTTCACCTGTTCGTAAAATTCACCGTCGAATTCGAAGTATGCTTGTAGGCATAGGTCCACCAGCTGGCAGATATATTTGTTATCCAGTGTTTGGTGTAGCTGTCGTTCTTCTAGAAGCTCTTCCAGTGTTTCCCTGGCCAAATCGAGGTTGATGGTGGTGAATAGCGAGGTGAAGAATATCATTATTTCCACTGCATCAATATTTACATTCTTCATTTTTTCCAGGAACTGTTTGGCGTCATTGATGGAGTGGTTGTAGCCAGCGATGAGAGGTTTGAGTCTCCTCCACAATTCTTTAGCCAGTTTGTAGGTTGGTGTACCGAGAAGTGAGACTATCGGTCGTAGTGGCACATTATCTTTGTGTATTTTTGGTAGTCCGTATAACTAACTGAGCCGTGTTTGAGTCGTTTGCTTTCATTCACCAGTGTTCTTCCTTGCTAATTTGGTGTAACCGTTCCAGCCTTTTCAGAGTTGCGTTGATTTTGATGGCGAGTTTCGAGGTTGAATCTATGTTCATTTTGCGGTCGGTAGTTGTGTCTTGGAGTAATTCGTTAGCCTTTCTGATGTAGTCTGTTTGTTCATTACCACGGTCACTTTTCCTTTGTCCACTGGAAGGATGATGATGCTCGTGTCGTTTCTCAGTGTTTTGATTGCCTTGTCATCGGTTTTTGAGAGTACACTGAATGGTTTGTTTCGGGTCAGAATAGGAACGATGGTTTGCCGTATTTTTTGTTTGGCGTTATCGGTGTTATCTTTCTTGTAGTACTAGTCTTATAATTGCACAAGACAGTGCTGGTCGTTTATTGAAGATTACAGATGAGAGGTCAGTAATGTTGCATGCATAACACAAAAACCTAATGAGAAACGTGCCATCGCAATTGTTTCTGACACAGGGTGATATATAGAGCAGGCAGTAGTTATTCTTCCAGACATACCACTTGGTCGTTGATGGTCTTGTTATATTTTTGATCATCAAAAGTTACCTACTACTCACAAGTGAGTAGTATCTCACGACACTAGCACTGTTTGGGTGCGGTACTAAGTTATTTCTATACATTATCGGAGAAAAGATTTCAGGTAATGGTGGTTAAGAGCAGATCTCTTTCTACGGTAAGTTGGAGGCTTACCGATCTACACCAATAATCGATGAGTTATCACCTTTTTTTAAAACCCTAGTTATTTCGTCTATTCCAAGTGTGAGGTAGAATCACCAACCTTGGAAAAGGATATAAACATGGTCCACCCGATGATTTACACTCAGTTCAGTCTGTAAAACCATTAAGCTTGTAGTGTCAAGCGACGCTGTGGATACGATCTTCCGGCTAGGCATTTAGTCGATCAATGAGGAGGAAGAAAGTAGAAATGATGAAAAGTCGAGAGTACTCTCAAAATGTGAGCAGAAATTTTCCAACTAGGTAGTTTAATGCGACCTATGTGACGGTCCCTGCCAAACATTTTGGACTATAATTTGGAAACTTGTGTTGTCTATAAAGTATTTAAGTAATTAAGCATATCTAGAACATAGAAACCAATAATGAGAACTTACTGCTTTGGACAAAACCAAATTACGATCAGGATCGGTGTACTCTTCGCTTGTCAAACGTAGCGCGACAGGGGTAATTTTCTTGGAAACCGGTCCTGGGTCATCTCGATCCTCGGATATCTGGCTGTCTTCTGTTTCATCTTCAACCAGTAATGCGTCATTTTGTTTTTCCGCTCGATCCCCTTCCTCGGTTGAATAGGATTTCACACTGGGTGTCGTTCGAGCCCGTGATACGTATACAAGCGAAACAATCTGACTAGCTCGTGATTCGGAACGTGTATGTTCGGTGAGATCTGGTTCGAGTTCGTGCAGTGTACTGACTGGTTGATTTTCAGAACAACCTAGCTGGGGATTGACAGGTCTGGCGATCTCCGATACCAGTTCTATCCCCGAGGGAACCTGAGTCAGGGAAACGGTCCCGGGGACAGAGTTGAGCCTGTTCACTTTTTCCCGAGTCGGACGGCTTAGCACCCTCGTCACAGCAACGAATTTGGCTTGATTAGGTGGACCCTGTGAATCAAATGGTAACGTGAGCCAGTTGAAAATTGATAAACAGTGATTTTGTTACTTGTGCATAGGGCTGTGTTGGAATTTTGTGTCCAGATTGATTCATTTGGTTTTCAGGGTAAATGAGTATGAAATCCTATGATATATGCTTGATAAAGACCTTCTAAGATGACCAAACCGTTGCTACCATTTATATTTATTTCGATTGCATCACCGTTGCTAATGGCAGTACTCTTATGGTCGTCTTGTGTTTGAAAATATGGGAATTATCAAACTATTAACGAGCGAAACTCACCGTCAAAAACGCATTACAATGGTAGCTGCGAAAACCAGGTGGGTTCAGCCAAAAGTAAGATTCTAAATAAATTGAGGGATTCCTCAAAGGATCGATGGACGAACGTGAAACTTAGGAGCTTGGATTTCCGCTTGTAATCTCAGAGTTTGCAACTTGAAAATATTTAGGCTATGAGTAGTAACGATCTTGAACGAGCCACAAAGGATGAAAGAGATGCCAAGTACTCCTCATTGGTTTTCACACAATAAAGTTCAACTGGGATGAAAATCCATTTGAGCCTATATAAATTGGGGAAATTTGGTGTATATGCAGAAAATCTATACAATTCGTGCTGTTTACACAATCCACATTTATCTCACAGTTACTTGTGAGTAATTTTAGGCGTGCAAAGTTCTTTTCAAAGTGAAACACGAAGCTCAACATGATAATTACATGAATTCGTTCCTTACGTTTTTGCACACGAAATGCGGTGGCAAAATTAGTGTTTAGTTCATTCTTGACTATAATGAAAATAGAATGATAAGATCTGCCTCACACTGCATCATACAAACCTTGTTTCCAAGGCCATATTCTTACAATATGCGGATATGTGTGCGCTGCCATAGATTTAATCTCGAATCTAAAAGGTTCAGACGACGAGCGCTAAATGACGAGACAGCGTGCACTCAACACTTCCCATACCAGAAACGAATAAACCGCAACGATAGCATCGTGCTGTTAGTTTGCCAGTGAATAGAAGGACGGAGTATACTGCAAACATGCACATACACACACAATTCAATCATTTTATCCTTAAGAGAGAGGTGGCTCTAACAACTGACACGTAAAGTACCTTCCAAAATCTCTCAAACAATGTAGGTCAATCAGTATGGTTTGCATTTGAGCTGCCAGTTGTGCAAAACCACCGTTGCAATCTGCGAATGTAATAATCATGCAAGGCTGGTATTGAAATAAACCCTTTAGATATCATTGACCAACTAAGGGCACGGATTACTTAGACCACATGGCCTACACCGTTCACCTCAATGAGAAACTACCTCTTAAAATGTATTTTATTTCATTTTTTATTTAATGAATATATAGGGATCAAATTATACCGCAGCATTGAACGATAAGTTGGGTGCAGGCAATGAGACATCGATTGTACTGCGGACTAGGTGTTAGAACATTGGTAGAAGCCAGCCTATTGCAGAGTCAGTGGAGATAGATGAGTACCTTTATCAATCAAATTGTAATGCAGTCGGGGCTACTTTATTATACAGTAATTCACAGATATCCAGGTGAATAAACGGCTATTTCATCACACATCCATTGTAAGTTGAATAGAAAGAGGTGATCGCCAAGATCAAGAGATTTTCGGTAATAATGAATTTCATTAGAAAACCCTACATCTTGAGATCCGTTTTAGATCCTTTGCACAAGGCTGATAGTAAAAGTGAATCAACGGATGATGCAATCTGCATCAGGGCGTTGTATGAGTGTCATCTCTGATGTGACACAATCGTGACTGTTGGATACGAGTCCCTGGATTACGTTGAAATGTTGCGTGCAGCGTACCAGCTGTGAGGAAGGTACGATCAATTGATAAAACTTGCGAAACCCAGTCTTAACAGCCTTAGAAAGAGTTACAAATAACTGTGCAGTCCTCTTGTCCTTATCGCTTCAAACACGATTGTTCCTCATTTAAGTGCGCAAGCTACCGAACGAGAACGACGTGATGGAATTCATTGTATCACTTGTTTCTTTGAGTGTGGTAGTAGTTTATTATGAATACCAAGGGAAAAAGGCTGGTTCACAATGATTGGCAAGTAGACAATTTTCCATATTCATGGACAATTTTATGCTACGAATCTATAAAATATACTGTTTTTAATAGACTGAACGTGGATTTATACATTTACACACGTCTCAAAATTTTACACTCATAAGAAGCTCTGCCCTCTCAAAATCTGCGCGCAACACGACACCCCCCTTTTCCCCACAGCATGTTCTATTCCGCATAGGTCCACTGACGTAAGTTCATGTTGTAGTTCTCCGCTATAATTTTCAACATCTGTCACTTGCAGCTAGCCGTTGCATTCCTCCAACCTTATTCTGCGTTCAAACGGGCTTAGTTCAAAGTAGGAAC